ACTACTAATATAGGCGTTTGAGGTGGTTCCCGAGATTGGTGGGAGGTTCGACGCGAAAATTGGTCTGTATTTCCCAAGGATTCTTTCCTGAACTAATTTAAAACGGCTGCAGCAACGTACATATGAAGCATTCTTCAAAAACACAGAGGTAGTTTGTAGGTTTATGCTATTAATTTTTTCAATTCCGAATATACGTGAACTATTTGAACAAATTTTAACTATTCTATATTCGCATCTTGCTGTGTAAGCGACTCTTCGACCAAATCCGTTGGAGTAAATTCTCTCCTACATGTCCCTGCTCATTCATTTGGAAGAGTTTCAGTGCCCCATTTGGATGCCTTGCCCTAAATACAATCCATGCACAGTTTTCACACATTGTAGGAGGGTAGCGAAGGAATCAGTGGATCATCTAAGGGTGAGCATAATGAAGAGGAGTCAACTGTGGGAGATTCGATGATGAGGGAGGGAACTGGTAGTGATGACCAATCCGGGGAGTCCGAGGATGACAGTAAGGACGAAGAGTGCAGTAGTAGTGATAGTGGCAATGAGAGTGGTGAAAAGACTAATGGAGGTCATATGTGTAATGCACCAATCATTAAATCACGGCATTAATGAACATTAAGAACATGCATTAATGAGCATTAACAAAATGTATCTCCAAGGGTATTTTTGGACAATTCACACCAAAAAAGGGACATTCTTGAGTACCATTATTAATGTTGACTACTTTTGATGCATTTACAAATGTTATAACATCTATGAAAGTATCTTTCTTAAATATAATAGCATGATTGCGCTTGATTTCCTCATAATTGACTTGTCAGCTTTAGGAATGGATTGGACCAGTATATTTTGGGCTCATACTTTTTACACCATATTATATCAGTGCAACGATGCAAGACTTTATTTCCTAACAACGATATCAAAAATTTGTTCGGTAAAATTTCACGAGCGTATTATTTTAGAAGTAAAAGAATCATCTTATGAGGATTAAGTTCTAACTTGAATTCTTCACTCATCTTCTTATAATTCCTTCATTTTTGAAATGTCTGTAAGTTGTCCTTTTGCTCATTTCCATGCACGTATCTTGATTTCATTATGTTGAAACTTTATCCAGAGTTTTGGTAGTAGACATGAGTTCAAAACTGAGGTTGAGTAGGTTTGAGTTCGGAACTGAGGATCAAGTTTAAAAGCGGTCAGCAATGAAATTTCTTAAATCCATAATATGTCATTTAATACGAATTTTAATATGCTCAATATTGATACGATAATCCTCAATCCTCCAATTGACCTCGAAACTATTTTCACTTCAGTCCCTCAAGACTTCAAAATCATCGAAAGGTTTCCAAATCAAAATCCTTCTTACCGTCTAAAAATATATAATTTGGTCCCTAAATTTTGTACCTTTTGCATCTCAAGTTTAAGCACCTCATAAGAATTAGTTGTGTCAAAATTCTAAAGACCTACAATAAATAAATAAAATTCTTTTGAAAATTTTGTAATAGACACAACATCAAATTCCTTTGTTTATTGAATAGTAAAAATTAACATATTATGTACTTTTTAGTTTGAGCTGTGTAAAAATGACTTGACCATGCGAAAGAGAAGGAAACGAACACCTAAGTGTAAAATAAAAGAAAAAATGCCTTTCGTTTTTCCTATGCATTTGTTCTTTTGGTTGTAGTTGGGCTTTGTCTTTTATTTTGACCCCTTGTTGTAAGTACCAAGTTTCGAATCAATAAAATAAATTGACAACACATGGAATAGACAAAGAAGTACGTGTAGGAAGGAAGGAATTTTCGTATTGATTGATAAATGAATTTATTTGGTTACTCAAACTTAAGGATGTCCTAATCCATTCCCCGTCACGTTTTCTAAATTACTTTTAATATTATCATTTCTTTTATATTTAAAAAAATACGATTAAATTTTTAAAAAATAGTAGAGTAGGAACCGTGTTTCCCGATTCTCCAACCAAATTGAAAATCAAACAGATGTTTAACAGTCTTCCTATCAAAATGTTATCTATTTATTTGAGAAATTTCCACCCATTCTTGGGCGGGAGCCCGTTGATGTTTTTGTAGACCCTGTTTGGTGGTCATTAATTTCAAAAACTATATTTTGAATAATATTTTTTGGAGAATATGGTTCAAAAGTAAGAAAAAATTTTGAATTTACGTAAAAAATATTTTATTAAAGTCACCAAACAAACAGGGGCTAAAAATAATGTAAAGTAAATTAAAGCCACCAAACAGGAGTAAAATTAGTGGATTTTGTTACATGTACATCAGAGATTATATAATGAGTTACATAATGTCACGTGGTACTTTATTATTTGTCAATTTAAAACACAGTTAACTTTTTCATCCAATTTTTTTCTCCACAACTCCTTATACATAATTTTAATGTATAAATAACAAAATTCAAAATATTTGATGATATCAGTATTTATGAAATCGAGAAAAGAAGATGGCCTTTTTGCTGGTGGGACATGAGATCTCTTAAGATACGAAAATTGTAACAAACCACCGCTCCCATATCTACTGTTTCTCATTAAAATTGTCCACACATTCCCATTCCCATTCCCATCCCCAACTCTATTGATATTTAATTCATATATAAAATAAACTATAAACATCTCAATAACAAAACAGTCCCATGCCTCACTATTCCATTACCGTTAAGCCCCTATTCAGTGCGGCAAATTTTGATATAATTTGATGAAATGTATGGTTGAAAAATTTTGGATCTTATGAAATATATGGTTAAAATTAATTGTTAATTTAAAAATCGACACTTACTTTCCGTGTTATGCAAAAGAGCATATAGCGCATCGTATATGCAATCAAACTAGAGTCATGCCCCCCTGTATTGACCCTGTGCAATTTCCCTTGTACTGGGGAATTTTCAATGCAATTATAGCTTGAATTAGTATCTAATAAATACTAATATTTTCTACTAACATGACATTGATCGCAAATCATCATACTTTGAAAATTATATGGGCCACATGGATAAATTCAAAATTTAGAAACAACAAAAAGTTATTAGAATACTTCTGTACAAATGATGAACTGGGATTACCATATTATCCGCGGTTCTGTTGGAGCAAGCGAGAAAGATTGAGAATTGAAGAATCCAAAAACAGTACTTGTTCAAGGGTTCAAGATGAAGTTGCCACATTTGCACTTCCAACAAATGGGTTTGTAGTTTGAAATGTCATCACCTCTTGAATATTGTATGGATAAATATTGAGTAGTAGTTGCTTTTTTGATGCTGGGGACAATAGGAACCTGAATTGCGACACAGTTTTTATTACATCTTGGTGGTCTTGATCCTATCATTACTAACCTCTCTCCATTTCTTCCCTGCCCCTGCATGCATTTCATTAAACAACAAATCAAATAATGTCATTAATTCACCATATCGTTTCCTTGAAAAAAGGGCTGTAGAGAAAGTTAAAAGTGAAATTTCTTTGTAGCGATTTTTGATTAAAAAAAATAAAATTAAACCTCACCTGAGTAGTGTCCCTAGGAGGCTTGTCCATCAGTATTCTTCCTGTAACATGCAAAAACACAGAAAATTCCACTTCAAAATACTGTCTTAAGCTTGTTAATGATGGATCAGAACCAAGTTCGAGCAAAAACCAAGTTACCTTGAGCCATGATTTTGAGGGGGTTTAAGCTTGAAATGAGTAAAAAGTGCAGAAAAGTGATTAGATGTCTACTTTTTGTATGATGTATAAATTTCTTGGCCATTGAATTTGAACTTGAGCAGGAAAGCTACTTATAAGTTGCAGCTGTGAAATTGAAAAAGTAAACAAATACAGAATTAAGCTGGCTTGAATCAATGTTTTAGTAGTATGAATATGTTGGAAGTAAGATAGAAAGTGGAATGCTGCAAAGGATGAAGAAAGAAAAGAAGTTGAGAGAGCGGCCAAAAGGGAGGAGTAGTTGCTATAAAGGCAGTAGAAAAAGAGAGCTAACACAGAAAGACAGCTGCAAAGAATAGAAAAAGACAGAAAATGAAAGGGCTTATGGGCTTTCGTTTTCTATGAAAAAATGTACTCTTTCAATCTGTCCCCTCCCCTTATAGGAATTTTATTGTTTTATATCCCATGTAAGTGCTTGTTTGGGAGGAGTTTATAATTTCAGTTCAATTTTGAAAATATATAGAAATCAATGTTGGATAAGTGATAGTACCTTTACTTAAAGAGTGATTTGATCGTTAATAAACAAATTACCCAAACAGTATCTAGGTTTTCAATCAAACAGTGGATTTAATAAGTTAGGTTGCTGCAATATAGGGTAGGTAAAATTAAAAAAGGGGCGTGGCCTACTCGACTGTGAAGTCATATAATTGTTTGCCTACATATCCACGCGACCAAACCTTAGATTTACTTCATTTTTCATGAATATATTATATAATATGATGGAGAATGGTCAAGTCAACTCCATTTATTCACAAAATGATCAGCCATTTACGTGACGATGTAGCAATAAGTTAACACTTTACCATTGGTGATCATTAAAAAATAATAATAATAGTGTCATTTATACTAATGATTATCACCGATCTATCTTTTACCATTCCAACTTTCTGACTCTACGATCTCTTTGAAATTGGCATAATCCACGACTATTACAAACTTTTTTTGTTTTTGTTAATTGTTTGTTATAATTCACAAACAATTTATTAGCGCAACTTACAAACAGGTGAACGGGAATATTCAATTATGGTTTAACTTTAAATCGTATTAAAATTCACATAAATATTACAAGAAATATCCAAGCATCAGTAAATTAGCAAAACCAACCAATGAAGGTAAAGATAACTAGTAGTAGCAGCACAGAATTAACTCACTCTCAATACTTGTGTGACTCAATGTACAAGTTACATAACAAAAAATTACCCTTACTACTACATTTCTCTATGCTTCCAATAAATACATCAAAAAATAAAGCTGGTTTGCATGGGTCTTCACTTTCTTCGCTATATTTCTATAATACAAAATTGTCGATCATATGTTGTATTATATTGGCTCCAGCAGAATTTATGCAGTACGTTTTTACCTGAACACATAAGGTAAGACAATGTCATGTTACTATAGTCCATTCATCATGAAACCGAATGAAAAACTACTAGCTGATGAACTCTTGAAAAGGCATTAAGCAAAATAATGGAAGAAATTGAGTTTTGAAGAAAGTAATGTTGCCGAAGAATCTCAAAGGAATATTTTGTCCAAATTTGACGTAAATCTTACGTCGTGCTATGAATAAGGACGCCTTCTGATGTAGGAAGTGAATTACAATATTTTCTGAAGTCATATAATTTACACCTAAATGAGTTAAAGGGGTGGTAAGATAGTAATTTCTTGTTTTAGATAGGTTCAAATCACACAATCCACTGGGGATATAATGCTGGAGGCAAGATCAGCTCAAGTTCCCTGGTGGTCAAAGAAACTATCTATGCATTATGGATCCCATGTGACAATGGATACATACCTGAATAGTATTATGTGCAAGAAATCTTTGTATAGTTCCACTGAAGTTGACATCAATACGTTCCCAGCTCAATCTCATTAAACCTCTGATCATTTCCTCTACAAGTGAAAACAACATGAATGTCAACAATCTAACACAATCTAGAACTCTAAAAATAGTGTAACTATGAAGAAATTTGGACATTAATCTGCAGTTCTAATCATAAACACAGATTATGAATAGTAAAATACAGCAACACGGAGATCTTTAATTGATAAACTCCTTTATAGTTAGGGCCCACTCAAGGAAAAATGAAAACCAAAACAATAACACAATATATCAGAAAAATAAACTCGTTTTATTTGTAGTAAATATAAATTTTGAGCAATCAAATGTCTTCATATGTTATCTGCCATCAGTGCATGCACTAGTGTAAGATTTTATGGCCATTAAAAAGCTAAATGCCCAAATACTTTCATTTAAAATATGCCGCGTAATTTATGTTTTGCAGTGAAATTACATGAAACCAAAGACGAGAATTCCAATCTGTAAAAACAAGTAATATTTCTGAGTGGACCAGAATACTTCTAGTCAAAATACCTAATCTCCTGTCATCCAGACTGCTTAATTGCTTGTCACCACACAAGTAAATGTTTTGGCTCAGTGCTACTATGCCAAGGCGTTATCCATATAGGCAGAAAATTATCACACAATTCATGCATTATGATAACTATTCTATGACTGCAGATATAAAAATAATGTGTGAATACAACTTTAACCGAAGCAAAGATGTAAATATTTATCCATTTCATTAATATTTTAAAAGAAAATAAATTTCTTATTAGTCAGAAATATGGCCTTGCTCCAATAAAATCCTGTTAGAGAATATAAGTACATAGTTACCAGAACAATGGTGAACAACCTTACGATTTGCTACTGAAGGAGACAATAATCATTGATTTAGTGGAGATTGAAGAGTTAACAAACCTTCCATTTCATTGGTCTTGCCTCTAACAATTTTGGCTTCCAAATGAACTTGAGGTTTGTCAGTTTTTGAAGCCACTTCATATAAAATGTGTGGGTATTTAGCATGTTTTTGAAGATTTCGTCTCTGAAAAAAGAACAGCATAAGATGATCAGCACATATAAGTTCAACTGTATAATTGCTAAGTTTTACCTTCGGTAGCTCATTCCTTCTACGCAGTGACGATGAACTCCATCCAACAAGATCTATGTAACATGTCAAGATCTTCATGCTATAGAAAAAAGATACAGCAAGAATAAACTATTATTTGTATTTCAATTAGTATACTTGCATTTCAGATAGTCATACTTCTACTGATCTACTCTTTCATGCTTTATCTCACAGCTCATAAATCTTTCCCATAACCGATAGATGAATTTGAGTGCAGTCTACACACTAAGATGAAGCCAAAAGAAATGAATAGGCGGAAAAACAGAAAGAGGATACGGTCAAAACGTGCATTCGCATAGGCCACACGTCGCTTGAATGAGTGCAAAGCGGATCTGCACAAGAATCCAGAATGCAAAAGATTTCACCAGTTAAATTTCCATTTGTTGAAAGATAAAAAGTATAATGAATTCATGATAACTCACATAAATTTAAGATCTTCAGAGTCGTTGACCATCTGAAGCAAAAGAGGAGATTTTCCGTCATCACTATCGGTCAAGAATAGATGTTTCCCAGTTCTTCCAAGTATCCATGACGCACGTGATGCTACTTTCTCCATGCTGTAAAGCCCACAGAACACTGGTACCTGCAAGACTACCAACTTGTAAAAACAAATTAACCCTGAATGCAAGACCACATTGGTCATATTGGAATAATTGAGCAGCTAATGGTTGCATTTGCAATAACATTTTCAGAGAAAAGTAACCAAAGATGAAGTAACCATTTTCCATTTCTAAGTGAAAAAAGTCAAACAAGATAGGATACATCAGTTCTAGGACAACAAAAAAAAAATGGAGAGCCCACGTTTAGAAAAACCAAAATTGGAAAAGTAGGACGCTAGAGCATGCATTTTCAAATGCCTATTGCAGACATAATATTAAAGGGTTCTTTAGACAGCTCAAACCTATCAGGAAAGTAACACGTCAGTGGCTTACATCTATCCAAATTATATATGAAAAAAGAGAGATGACCCCTCTAATCCTAAGCATATGAAATAAAACTAAGATCACTTTCAATTGACTATAGTTAAGGTGTGGGAAATTGACTACTTCCATACTAAATAGATTGTACAAGTAAAAGCATATTTTTCTAGGATTTCTCTTCTACTAGATAATAAAAAAGGAAAGAAAGATGCGTACATCTTAATTTTCAATCTAATACATTATCAAGAGACCCTGTGAAGAACAATGAGGAGACACTGTACTTGTGCCTGTATCCTGCCAATCTCCTCGAACAGCTATTCACTAAGACCATGATCAGACATTTTAAAGATGAGGTGCCATGACAAAATTAAGAAAAATATCTTCTTTTTGGCCACAGATTATTTAATGATCATTAATAAATTGCTTTACAATAGGAACTAAAGAGAACATTTTTCCCATATCTCGGCAGTGCATCATCAATAGAGAAAGCAATCTGTGTTTAACAAATTCAATAACCTGTTTATGCCCCCTTGATCCAAGGTGTGGTGTTGCCAAGGTAATGAAGTTCACAGGTTCAAGTCCAGCAATTCTGTCTTTACATTTCTCTTCTGCAAATGATCCGTTAGACTCCCCTTGACGCTCGTCATTTTCTTCACCAAGTTTTCTTGAAAAATCTTGTCGATAAAGCCTAGCAATCGCATATCTTGCGATTAGGCCACCAAGTGAGTGACTTACAAAAGAAATCTTTTGAAGATTTGGATGGCGATCTACAACAGAAATCACCTGAAATTTCAAAGGGAAAAATACTCTAATCTCCATCTTACAGAAGCATTTGATTCAAATCGTAGTAAAATATTTGAATGAATAGTATTAATTCCAAACACAAGACAGCAATCAAGAGAACAGTTAGTCCTACAGAATGCAGGAGGAAAGAGAACGGTTTATTATTATTGGAAAAGGCATCACAAACCTCGTCAGCTAATCTCGTTCCCATTACATCAACACCATCAAATGTCAACATTGAAGAATTAGATTCACTGCCTGGACATAGCACATTAAATAAAAATAATTCATGTCAACATTGAAAGCCATTGACTTCAGCTAATATAAAATGTAGAAAAATTCATAAGTTTCAACTATTTCTTGCAAATATGATGATTTTCCGAAACATTCATTGGGCAGTCCACGAGTTTACAATTGTTGACAGCTTGAGCTACATCATTGAAGGTTGCATAGTTGTTTCCATTTGATACGACAATCTAAAAGTAATTTAGCAACATGGAAGAAAGTGTATTTTATTTGTTGCAGAAAGATATTGCAATTCTATAAATGACAGGATCTTTTGCCTATAAGTTTAACTTATGTGTTTGGTTTCAATATAAAAACTAGCAAGTTAGATCAAATTTATGTTCTGATTTAAATTCAGTGTTCATTATGTCTGTTGCGTGCAATGCTTTAGAACACACAATTACAACTACCAGGAATGTGATCAGGTTTTATGTATAACAGTTTTGTGAGAACAGAAAGTTATATATTTTTAGACTTGGTTTTTATGACGCTTTCATATGTTAAGTATAGATGTTATGATAGGTAAATCAGAAAGTAAAGAAACATTTCAGGAAAACAGAGAAGCTTTATTCAGGAAGATATCTCAGAAACTTGTTTTGGATGTGATCACGTGAACATAAGGTGGAATTAGTCTTATTTCGAGTTTCTTCTCGAAATTTATTCAAAATATTTGACAAGAAACCGTTGACAGTTTCCTTCTTTTTAATAAAAAAACTTACTGAAATCATGATCATGATCACGTATTCATATTGAATGAACATTCTCAAAGCAGCTTAGGAATACCACGTGAGAGCCCCAAGCCTAAACCATCTCAGATATATATTCGATGTCAACAATTCTAATTTTAGTAGAATTATTAACCATGAAATTTAAACATGTAACCCAGTACACATGAAAGGGTAATTTGACATCAAGTGCAAATCACAAGCATTAAAGTGAGCCGGAAAGTGTAAAGTATGCATTTAAGAGTCTAACTGTGTCATCCTACCAAGAATTGTTTTAGTTCAATGCTTGTGTTAATACAAAAAGTACTTGAAATGAATATCTATGCCAATTTCTTCTGTCATTCACCTGATGTGGCTTTCCAAGCCACGCTATTTCCCTCCATCCCTGCAGCGGCAGTGACTAGTATCTGCCTCCGTTGTGCAACAAGAAGCACTGGTGAAGTCGGAAAAGAATGGTTGACTCGTAGTAGGCTTCTTTTACTCTTGTTAAAGTTAATATATGCTCAATAAGTGAAATTCTAGTTCCAATCCTAATCATTCTCAATTCAGAAGGGAAATATCCATCTTCAGTTCGTTAAGCTATAAAACAAACATATAACAAACTCCCAGTTCATATTGTCACAAAATTCTTGACTATTACTCTATGTATATTGGATAAAAATGTCATGGCAACTAGAAACACAAATTTTCATGTATGTAATTAACCTTCATTTAAAATGTTATCTTTTTGAATCCATCATTTACCCTAAAAAGAAATTTTTCTGTGGGGTTGCTCAATTGGTCAGGTCTTGGGTTTGCTCCCCAATGGTGACCAGTTCGAATCCCCTTAGGGCACTGAGGTGAGTACCCAACCGTAAACTTCAGGGCCCCGTGGAATTAGTCGAGGTGCGCGCAAGCTGGGATATCCACGATTATCAAAAAAAAAAAAATTTTCCTGACTGAAAAAGAAGTATGATTTGGATCTTCAATAGAGCCTACACATTTCGTGATATTAACAATAAACAAAGAATATAAACTCAAAACATAAATCTGAACAGAAAAAAAAATTAAAAAATGGTGAAGATAGAATTTACAGTGTACGACAACATCACTAGGATAGGTCCTGACAAATTGTTTGGCGGCATATCTCCAATTTTGAGCACTGCAAAAATGTAAAATAAAACAATAATTAGTAACTAATAACTACATAAATATGTTGTAAAATACTCCGAAAATCCGAATTTTCATCATTCCACTATCCAGATTCAGGGCATCAAATCATAGATCATATTATTATTAGTATCAGCAATATAAATTAACCTTCCAATAATTCCGTTAACCATAACAATAAGGTGATTCGGCTCGCTAGTCTTCTGATTGCTACCAGCTTCGACGTCAAAACTTCCGTCAACGTTGGGTTTCTCCTCCACAGCCGGGAATTCGTCATTCAATTTCATACAACCCAACTTGGGAATAAAATTAAACTTGCTCTTTTTCTTCTTCTTCATAAAATTCTTTTCATTATCATTTCCTAGCTTGTTTTCATTCAAATCAATTTCTGGTTTTCTCTCATCCTCTTCTCTGACAGTTGCTGTACTAGTCTCCATCTCCATTGAACCCATAATGAATACCGTAATCTGTATACAAATAGTTGTGCTTTATATATTTATAATCATGGAGTAATCGAGTCAAGGTTTTGAATTGAATTTGGTGGAAGAAAAGAAAATATTTTTTAAGGAACTGGGACGACAACCTTGACTTCAAAAAGGGTTCCATTACTACCTTTTAATAATTACTATACTATAATTAGATTTAATCAAAAGTTCTTTTTTTTAGAAATATAATTTGACTAACTCTATTAATAGATAATTACAAAAGTAATATATATTAATGGGCTTGGTCTGAAGATGTACGAGGATTGAGGACCCATCAATTAGTAGGAATGGCCCAAAAAAAAAAAAAAAAAGGTTCATCAAAGCCGACATGCGCAAGGTCTGCTCGAAAGGGGCGAAGATCACCCACTTAATCGGATATTCGGGTCGGGGACTAGGCGGGAAACTTCACCCCAGGCCAGGTACAGGTAACAAGGGTCTCGTCCCGTCTCGTCTAATTTTTAATTTTTTTAATATGTTTTTCTAAAAATTAAATACTTTAAATGAAAACTTTTTACGAAATTTCATTAGTTTTAATAGAATGCGGCAACTAAGATTATCTAATGGATAATAAAAGTTTTAGTTTACCAAATATATTTGAATAATTTAATTTTAAAAAATTAATAAAAATATCATTATCTCACTTTAATGAATTGGATAATAAAATATATTATCAAAAACTGAATTACTAATAAAAAAATAAAAATTAAACGGATAATATACCGGGCAAGGACCTCGCCCCGCTCTCCTCAACCTTAAACAGGTAACGAGGCGAAAAATTACTCAACGAGGCTGGAGGTGAGATAGGTATCACAGGGACGAAATCCAAGTAAAATACTTAGCTAAATTTTTGCCTATGATGACACTGAGGTTCCACCCAGTCAGCCTATCGATTTACACAATGCACATACGAAATGTAAAGGACGACAATAATACGGGTAAACTCAACTTGTTTTATTACTCAACAATAATACAAGACACGAAGTTTATACTGAAGGAACACAACACGTTTTATGTGTCTCATCAGCTGGACCTTCTTCTATTATAGGCCAAAACTCGTGTGCAGTTAACACCCTTAACTGCCAAAGGGATAAGCCAACCCAGTTGGCAAGAACATGCTAGAAACCGTATAGCACAACCACACTTTCCACTAGTATGGACTCCGAAAACTGTCAAGTACATGTGTCAAACATGTGCACCATTTGGACATCCGAATTTGTGGACTAAAGCCCACTAACAGAAGTTGGATCAGCCCATACCTTGCCAGCCTACAACACTTTGACACCAACCAAATTGCAGTCCATATTTTCCTTGCTCCGAAAATTCGAAGTGTGCACCATCAACACATTTATCTGTAAAATCCCTACATGAGTGCAAGGCGTCTCATGCCATCGCGCATGTCAACCTTCAAGGGGCTGACAAACCTCTCCCACTAGAAGAGTCTGACATCCTCGTCGGAAGAGAATCAAGATACTCCTTCACCTTGTCCTCGAATTGCTATAGATCAACGTCTATTTCATAGGTTGCATCAACTTCAGTATCACCTTTCCACAGAATGAGATAGTCTGTCCGTCTGTTCTTCTTACTTGCCCCCATTGTTCGATAACCCATGATCTCTACCACCTCCTTATCATATTGTTTTCTAATCATAGGAGAAGTCCTCTTGGCCTGCAAACGATCTTCTCCCACCAAACTTTCATTAAAGGACTTTAGATAACTTACATGGAAAGTAGGATGAACTTTCAAACGATGAGGTAGCTTTAGTCGATATGCTACATTCCCAACAAGCTTGATTACTTTGAAGGGACCATCATACTTTTAAACTAGCTCACGATGCACGGTCCTTCTACTAATCTTCTTCCCAATCTGGGGAGTCAATTTCAACAAGACTTTGTCCCCAACTTGAAACTCCACATCCCTCATGTTTTTATCATCATACTTCTTCATTCGTCGGGCAGCCTTCGTAAGACTGTCCTTTGCCTGCTTGTCTTGAGCAAATCGAAAAGCAGCTGGACATACACTGCGTCCCCCTTCTTTCACAATCTCGAGAGGAGTCTTGGGCATATGTCTCATGGTTAACTTGGTCGGACACATCGCCGTAGTGGATGATTGATATAGATTGTAGCAAAACTGGGCTGTATCAAGCAAGGCAACCCAGTTCTTCTGACTGGATATAACATAATGTTTGAGATATTCCTCCAGTATTGCATTTATCCTTTCCGTCTGATCATCAATCTGCGTATAATTTGCTGTGGAAAACTTCAATTCAGACCCCATGTTGAACAGCATGGTCCAGAATTTGCCTGTAAACCGAGAATTCCAAAGTATTTCACCACATTTTTGAAAAACAATCTAGCATCAACGTCCGTAGTGCACTCATGCGGAGTTAGAATGAAGATTGAATATTTCGAGAACCTGTCCACCACCACCATAATGGACTTGAACCCATCAACCTTCGAAAAACCAGAAATGAAATCCATAGAAATTGATTGCCAAGGTCGTTCTGGAACCGGCAAAGGCTGGAGCAAACCTGCCTCTTTCCTCCTTTCTGTTTTATCCTGCTGGTACACCAAGTAAGACTTCACATACGCCTCTACCTCGTCACCCATCTTCGGCCAGTAATACGATTTCAGAGCAAAGCTAACATCCTTTCGATGCCCGGATGGCCTGCCCATAGTGGATCACGAGTTTCCTTTAATAGAATCTGCCTTAGTCCCCCACTTGAAGGCACATACAATTTACTGCCTTTGGCATAGATTAAACCATCTTCAATCTAATACCGTCTCACCAAGCCGTCCTTGATTTCCTGTAACAACTTGGTATAGGCAACATCCTTATCAGCCCACGACTTGATTTTCTCAAGAAAATCCAATTCGACTGTCATCAAAACCAACACATAAGCTTCCACGGACTTTCGACTGAGTGCATCAGTAACCTAATTCTGCTTGCCTGGCTTGTGAACCCACATAAAATCAAATTCAGCCAGAAACTCCTGCCATCTCTCCTGTTTTATCGACAATTTCTTTTGGAGCTAGAAATATGTATTGGCTACATTATCTGTTAGAACAGTGAATTTTGTTCGTAACAAATAGTGATGCCAAGTCTCCAGACAATGAACAACCACCGTCATCTCTTTCTCATGAGTTTAATATCGTTATTCTACCTCCTTCAAGTTCCGACTTTCATAAGTGACCGGATGACCTTCTTGTACCAATACACCACCAATAGGACGATCAGATGCATCAGTGTATACTTCAAATGGCTTCTCGAAGTCAGGCAACTGCAACACTGGTTCAGTTAAAACAACCTATTTTAACTTCTCGAAAGCTCGTTGGCACTCATCGGTCCATTCCCACTTCTGATCCTTTTTCAGTGAGTCCGTAAGGGCGTTCACTTTCTTGGAATAGTTTTGAATGAACCCCCGATAACACTTTGCTAATCCAAGAAAGGAACATAGTTCAGCAACATTGGATGGATTTGGCCACTCCATGATAGCCTTCACCTTATTTCCATCCATTCTGATTCTTCCTTAACCCACCTAGTATCCCAAAAATATCACCTCCGACCGACAGAATTCGCATTTCTCCTTCTTGACATACAATTGATGTTCTCTAAGCCGTGAGAACACATTTGTTAAGTGAACAATATGATCACCTAGTGATCTACTGTATATTACGATGTTATCCAAATAAACTACCACAAAATCATCCAAGAACTCGTACAACACATCGTTCATCAAGTTGCAAAAATGACAGGTGCATTTGTAAGACCGAAGGACATAACCAGAAATTCGAATGAACCATACCTCGTCACCCAGGCAGTTTTTGATTCATCCTCTTCAGCAATCCTTACTTGCCATAGCTCGACCGTAAATCCAGCTTGGTGAAAAATAAAACCTTTGCCAATTGATCAAATAGATCAGTAACATTAGGCACCGGGTACTTGTTCTTTACCGTCACCTTATTTAGTGCACGATAATCCACTCACATCCTCATGGAACCATCATGCTTCTTCTGAAATAGAACTGGGGCACCATAGGGAGCTTTCGAAGGTTGAATGAATCCTGCATCAAGTAAATCATCAAGCTGCCTCATCAACTCTGCCAATTCCAACGGAGACATTCGATACGGGGCTTGTGCTGGAGCCCTTGCACCTGGTTCGAGTTCAATTTTTTGATCAATAGCACGATGGGGTGGGAGAGTTCTTGGAAGTTCTGGGGGCATCACATCAACGAACTCCTCCAAGATACTTGCCACCTGACCAGGTACCTCCACAACCTGATCTTCTTTGTTCTCAATCAAAGCTGCAACGTAAGTCATCTTCTCTTTCTTCAGACCCGTCTTAAGTTGTTTTGTAGATTGCATCTCATCCTGAATCTGCTTCCCTTTGTTCTTGTCAAGGTATCTTCGATGGTACAAAATAGGTATTTCCTTCATTTGCAAAGTATAACCCATGCAGATACGGTACCATGAATCCCTTCGCCTTGACAAAGAATTCAATACCAATGATAAAATCAAAATCATCTAAGGGAACATTCATCAATTGTACTTTCCCTCCCATTCACCCACACGAAGGATGACTTCAATAGATCCCTTCACAGGCTATGCTGCAGAATTCATAGCCTTAATGCTTACACCCAACTTTTCCACGATCCTGGAACTTACAAAGTTATTAGTAGCACCCATATCCATCGTTGCCAAAACTTCCTTCCCTACAACAGCAACTTGAACAAGCATCAAGCCATGCTGCAGTGTAGTGATGGCATTCACGAGCTGTAACGGATTCACTCTCTATCATCACTACCTTCCAACCTTAAGGCATTCCGTTTCTCCCTCTTTGGATAGTCCTTTACATGATGGGGACCGTTGCAAATGTAGCATCCACTGAAGCTCTTTGACTTGAGTTGGGACTGATCACCATCTTTCGATTTAGGGCCCCGAACTTTTTCTTCTTATCCTCTTTTTTCCAAT